TGTGTGTGTGTGTGTGTGTGTGTGTAAATAGGAGTTTGGTGAAGGATATGATCCTTAAGGGCAGTGGTTAGCAATATTGTGTGTGTATGTGGCGGGGTGGGGGAGGATACAGAACCTTGAACTCAAGGACAATCTACCACTTTTTTTTTTATTATTACTTTTTTTAAATATTGAGACAGGATCTTGCTAAGTTTCCTAGGTGGCCTTGAACTTGTGATCCTCCTGCCTCAGCCTCCCAGGTTGCTGGGATTACAGTGTGTGTCACTCTCCGAGGCTAGCCTTGTCACTATTGACATTTTGAGCTAGATAACTCCTGTAAAGGGTTATCTTGTATATCCTGTGATGTTTGACAGCATTGCTTCTGTCTACCAGCTGCCTGTAGCAGTTCTGGCAATGATCAAAAATGTCTGTAGATGTTGCCAAGTATCTCCTAGGAGAGCAAAGTCACCCCCAATTGAGAAACCCTGGAACTGCTTCCTGGGGTATAGTTGAGTGCAGTCTGAGTCTTGGAGAATAAATAGAACTTGGATAGGAAGGGTGGGTGATGTGGAGGTTATATTAGTTGAGAAGAACCATTCAAGTAAAGACCCAGAAGAATATCTAGAGGAGTGCTACTGAAGTGTGGACCATGCATGAAACTATGTGTGACAATTGTGGATAATCACTGGGAAACTCTTAAGGCAACTGTACAGAGTAATTTTATGTCTATCAACTGCAAAAGACTTTTATTTTGTGTATCTTTGTTATTTTGTATTTCTAGAGATTCTTTTTCTTGTTTTATAAAAATATCTTTGGAATATTTAAATTAAAACATCACCAAACTGGTCTTTTGTCACTGAGACTGAGAGAGGCTGTGATGAGCCTGAATGTCAGGTGCACAGTAGGGAAATAAGATAGGTTAATTATGTCCAGATGGAGCTTGAGGTCAGAGTGGAGATCTAAGTGTTCGACACATCTTGGACCTGGTATATAAATATTTTTAGGATGAATAAATGTCTGGAAAACCTCCAAGCAGAGGAGAAAGGACCTAGGAGTAAGGAAGGTGCCAGCAGTAGCTGTTGTGGAGATGGGAGTGACTTTTAGTAGGGTATGTTAATGTCAATTAATCTGTCTCTGTGGTTTTAGTCTTCTAGTCACCTGATTATTTCTATTTAGAAGCATTTTCTATTCACTTAACCTTGGGCCATAATCCTGAATTGATAATGGCCCATTTGATGCTGTCATTTATGCATTTAGGACCTCATGTGTCAAATTATGTACTTGTCTCTTGAGATTGTAAACACTTTTTAATATCTTTCACACAAAGCACTTTTTGTGATTATTTGGTGTTTCTTATAGCTGTCCCTTAAATAAAAATAAATAAAGGATATTGTATTTTGGTTCATTTGCTTCCTCTTAGAGTAGGAAATGGTCTGTGTCCTTGGCATTGTTTCTGTAGTGGTGTAGGTGGATGGTGACCACTGGTGTGAGACTGGGAAGCCTGTAGCCATGGGCCTGTGCACATCTTCTTTAGAATCTTTAGGGAGCTTGAGTTTGCTGAGACTCTGTCACCTACCTACCTTCCTACCTTCCTTTCTTCCTTTCTTTCATTCGTTCGTTCATTCTTTTTCCCAAGACATATCCTTCACTAAATTAATTGTCTGATGAAACAAAATACAATACTCTGCAGAGAAAGATAGCTGTGTTTTGTACTGGAAGTCAAATGGATGTGTATATAAATATGTAGGATGAATACTTCAGAAACAAACCCAGATATACATATTATATTAGGTAATACCTAGATTCAGTGGTATTTAAAAGGGAAACATAAAACACCTTAAGATGATAGTGACTTCAAGCTCTATGTGATATTTTCTTCAGTATTTAGTATTCAGTAAAATCTTTCTAGATAGAAGAAGCAAGAATGTATGGCTCATAATCAAGAGAAAAATATTATTAATAGAAACAGTAAAAGATCACCCAAATTATATGGTTAATAGGGACTTTATTATTGTTATTTTAAAATATATTCATTTTTATTTATTTATCTATTTATTTATTTATTTACTGGGTACCAGGGATTGAACTCAGGGACACTTGACTACTGAGCCGTGTCCCCAGCCCTATTTTGTATTTCATTTAGAGACAGGATCTCACTGAATTGCTTGGCACTTTGCTTTTGCTTAGGCTGGCTTTGAACTCGAAATCCTCCTGCTTCAGCCTCCTGAGCCACTGGGATATAGCTGTGTGCCATTGCACCCAGCAAAATTTCATTTATTGACACATAAAAATAATACATATTTATGGAGTACCATGTGATGTTTCAGTACATGTATACACTGTGATATATTCAGGATAAACCTGTCTCCTCAAGTGTTTATTCTTTACATGTGGTGAAACAGTTAGAATCTTTTAGCTTTTTTGAAACACATAGTACATTATCATCATCTGTAATCATCACTGTGTAATATACCACCAGACTTATTCTTCCCGTCCAACTATAGCTCCATTGATCAACCTTTCTCCATTTTTCCCTCCTCACTGATCTCCCTAGCCTCTGGTAACCATGCTCCTACACTAAACTTCTGTGTGACCAACTCTTTTTTAGACTGCATATACAAGTGAGATTGTGTGGTCTTTCTGTGCATGGGTTATCAACTTAACATAATGACCTCTAGCTCCAACCGTGTTGTGGCAAAGAATAGGATTTCTATTTTCTTATGGTTGAATAGTATTTTATTGTATATGTGTACCACATTTTCCTTATTCATTTATCAATTGATGGATACTTGGATTGTTACCATTTCTTACTATTATGAATATAGTGCTACAGTAAACATGGGGGTGCAGATCAGATGTCTCTTTGACATACTGATTTAATTTCCTTTGGACAGGTACCCCGTAGTGGCATTGCTGGATCATATGGTCATTCTATTTGTAATTGTCTTGAGGAACTCCAATCTGTTTTTTATAATGATTGTAGTAATTTACATTACCACCTTATTATTTAAGCATTACCATTTTTACACATCTTTATTAGCACTTATTATCTTTTCATTTTGAAAATAGCTATTCTAACTGGAGTGAATGATATCTATCTTGTTGTGGTTTTGATTTGGATTTTCCCAGTGATTTTTGAGCATTTTTTTTCATTTATCTGGTGACCATTTATATATCTTCTTTTGAGAAATATCTTTTAAGGTTTACTGCCCATTTTAAAATCAGTTTATTTGTGGGTTTTTTTTTTGCTTTAGAATTGTTTGAGTTCTTTGTATTTTGTAGATATTAACCCTGTCAGATGTGTAGTTCGAAAATATTTTTTCCCATTCTGTGGGTTGCCCCTTTGCTGATTATTTCATTTGCTGTGTAGAAGTTTCTTAGTTTGTTTTGTAGTAATTTTTAAAGTTTGTAATCCCATTTGACTATTTTTACTTTTGTTTTCTGTGCTTTGGGGGACTTTTCTAAAATAACCTGCCCATTTCAATATCCTGAAGCATTTCCCCTACATTTTCTTCTAGTAGTTGTATAGTTTCACTAATTCAAGTCTTTAATACATTTGGAATTGATTTTTGTAAACAGTGAGAAATATAGTTTTATACCTTACATGAGTGTTAAGTTTCCCCAGCACCATTTATTGAAGAGACTGAACTTTCTTCAGTGCATGCTCTTAGCACCTGTTTTGAGGATCATTTGGCTGTAGATGCCTCAGACTTTATTCTTTTCTATTGGTCTGTGTGTCTGTTTCTTTACTAAAACCATGCTGTTTTGATGACTAATTTTTTGTAGTATATTTTGAAGTCAGATAGTATAATGCTTTCTGGTTTGGCTATTGTTTGTTTGGTTTTTGGTTCCATACAAATTTTATGATCGTTTTTCCTAGTTCCATGAAGAATGTCGTTGGTATTTTGTTAAGGATTGCATTGAAGCATTGAGTCTGTTGGCACTGAATCTGTTGGTTTCTTGATACTACCAACCCATGAATATTTTGCTTAGGCATGAATATGGATTGGATTTCTTTGACCACATCAAGCATAATATTTTATATTATGTGTCCAATTATTTCAATCTGATGTGCTTTTGTCATTTTCCCCCCATTCCTACTTTTTTTTTTTTTTTTTGCAACTCTGGCTCATGATGCCATGTGTTATTTCTTAAAGTGCTTAATTTTTGAATATTCTTCCTTCCTACTGTCTCAAAACGAATTGCTCTAAGTAATATATAGAGCTTTAGGCTTTTTCCCCCATTTGTCATGAAATGTATGAAATTCAGACCATTCATCAGAAAGGGGAAGTAGATGTTGGATTGCTTCTTAGAAGATCTGTGTTCCAGTTTTGACACCTAATACTTACATACTGAATTATTTGTGGTACATTACTAACCTCTCTGCATCTGTTGTTTTATCTTGTCAAATAATTAGGTTGTTAGGTCATTAAATGGCTGTGGGATGAATGACTGGTTTCAGGAACATGGTCTAGGCAGTGGCAACTTCACATCCACTGTTTCTGCAACTTCATTATCTACAGAGGTACTGTGCAAATTACCTTAGAATTAAAGAGACATAGCATATATTACCTCCTTCCAGAATTTAAAATTACTTATCTAGATAAGACCCAGTAGCTCTTAGACAGTAGCAGAATGAATACAAGGTAGCATATTCTTTGGTAGTTGAGAGGAAGTAAGTGAAGAATATTCTGGACTGGGGCAGTATTATGTGAGAGGTAGGCTCTAAGTTGAGTTTTGTAGGGAGAGCAGCACTTAAATATTAAGAGGGCAAGAGGACATTTGAGGCAAGGTGACTGGAGACAATCAGTGAAGATTTCTGGGGCACAGTCACTGTAGTGAGGAAGTGAGTATAGGGAAGGGAGGAGTGGGAGGAGATTAGATGGAGAAATTGATTGGAACTGAGTTGTGATAAGCCTTAAATGCCAGGCTTAGAGTGAGAACTTCATTCTGTATTTAGAGGGCTCTGGAAGGTTTTAGGCCAATCAAATGATATATAAACGAAATTTCAAGATATTCATCGATATATAGAATAACCAGGAATGGTATATTATTTGGGTCCTGTTGGGAAAGAGATGGCATAGAGATGGCATATGCAACAGAACAATTAAGAGGAACTTAAGAAAGAATAGACATGAAGTCAAGAAAAGATTTGGAAAGCATTCCAGGGGTAGCAGCTGCAAGTTGGGGAGGGAGGTGTGACTATTGGACAGGGGTGACTGAGCCATGTATGCTTTATCGTCCAGCTGGCTTGCTCAGGCTTCTTCACTTGTTGGTGTTCTCCCAATCCTTACAGCAGAAAGAGTGCAAGAAGCCCTAAGTGATTTTCAGGACTCTGCTTACATGAGACTGGTGAATACACCACTGACCAAAGAAAGTCCCAGGACCAATCCAGATTCAAGGGGTGGAGAAACAGACTCTAGTTTGAGGAGTTGCAGGGTCTCCTTGTCAGGGTGTAGGTGAGCAGAGAGGGAGAACTTTAAACTTAGCACAATGTATGAAACAAGAAATAATGTTTTCACCGATCTTTAAGATTAAAAAATAAAAGAAAATTTCAACTGCTACTTATTTTAAACATGGTTGATATGAAGTTCTGTGGCTTAAAATTCATATTTTATTCACTTTGTGAAAAGTTAGGGTACTCAGTGGGGAAGAAATTTACCTTTAAAAGGTAAGAATACTTGCTGTGATATGATCACACTGTGATATAGTTTTACTAAAAATCAAGTAAATTCCCCAGGTCTTTCCAGTGAATAAGTGGATGGAATTTATGTGCAGTTTTGTTTGACAGTGTGTATATTGTGGCACAGGACTGAGAATCTTTGTTGTTGTTTTAAAATTTCTATTTTTGTTTCTGTTCTGTGTTTCCTTTTCTGGACAAACACTGATGAGGAACCCCTAAGGTGGCCTGCTGTCATTTCTCCAACTTGTTCATTAGTCAGTTAGATCCACTAAGCCAGAGGTGAAATGAATTAGACCTACAATTAGACCTACAATTCATTAAAAGTGTAATTAGTGTTACAAGAAATAATTAAGAGCACAGTGAAAATGTATACAAAGGAAAGACCTTACCTAACCTGGGTGCTTTTGTCAGGGAAGATTTACTTGAGAGGGGCTTGTAAGACTGAGGTCATAAGAAAACAGATTGAGTTACCTAGGCGAGGGCGGATACACTGGGAAGGGATTTCATGGACTGTTGACTGCTTTACATCTGATGCAGGAAGAACAGAACAATTGAGCAAATGAGGGGAGACCTGGGTAATGTTAATCTTAGAGCTGTAGCTCTTAAATCTATGAATTACCCCGGAACTTATAAGAAATGCAAATATGTACTTTTAAAAACAACTTTATTGAGGGCTGGGGCTGTGGCTCAGTGGTGGTGCACTTGCCTGGCATGTGTGAGGCACTGGGTTTGATTCTCAGCATCGTGTATAAATAAATAAAATAAAGGTCTATCAATAACTACAAAAATATTGAAAAAGCCCTCAGCTTTATTGAGATACAATTAACATACCACACACTTCACCCTTTTAAAGTATGTAATTCACTGACTTTCAATACATTTAGAGTTTAGAACATTACCCTGTTTTTCAACCATTTTTTGAGAACTTTTTTGTTACCCTACAAAGAAATCTCAAAACCTACCCTTAGCCAGCTGCCCCTAGTCCTTCCACCTTCTCTCTTCAGCCTTAGTGGACACTTGTCTAGACATCTTATTCTGGACATCTCATATCAATGGAATCTTACAATATGTGGCCCTTTGTGGCTGGCCTCTTTCACTTAGTATTATGTTTTCAGGGTTCGTCCATGTTGCAGCATGTCTCAGTATTTCATTCATTTTTATGGACAAATAATGTTCCATTATTTAAAAATATAAAATGCAGGGCTGGGGTTGTGGCTCATCAGAAGAGCGCTTGCCTCACATGTGCGAGACCCTGGGTTTGATCCTCAGTACCATATAAAAATAAATAAGTGAAATAAAGGTATTGTGTCCAACTACAACTAAAAATAAATAAATAAATAAATGTGGGGTGTGTGTGTGTGTGTGTGTGTGTGTGTGTGTGTGTGTGTGTAAAATGCAACTTCTTGAGTTCCACCTTAATCTTACTGCATCAGAAATTCTAGGGGGTACTCTTCTGTTACCTGTATTTGAATAAGGCCTCCAGGTGAAACCCAGGCTTACTTGCAGGGTCAAGAGATACTGCTTTGGAGTGGCTGGAATGAGGGGGATGTGAAGCTGGAGAGCTGGGTTATTCTTATCATTGCTGGTCCTTTGTCTTAAGGATGTTGGGAAGTTATTGAAAGATTTTTAAACAGAGCTGTGAAATCATCCAGTTGATGTTTTAAAAACAATTCATTTAACTTTTCAATAAAAAATAATTTGGGGGAATCTAACTAAAGGAAGCTATAGGAAGCCCTTGAGGGAAGATGTTGATATGGCATTAACCAGTAGCAGTAAAGATGGAGAAATGTGGATGGGAAAGCTTTGAATGCAGAAAAGCCATACTAATGTGTGTATGTGTGTGGGTGTGTATGTGTGACACCAGGGAGAACCAAGGTGAGATCCAGGTTTCTAGGTTGGGCAGGAGAGTGGGTGGTGGGTGTCACCACTAAGGTCTTCTGATTTTTCTGTCCTATGCTGAACTCTTGGTTACTCATTCCTCTCTCTAGAATCTGTTCTTTCAGACAACCCCAGAGAAAATATACTGGATGACTTTTGAACATGGATACTCTTGAGAAGACACAATACATCTGGAACCATAAGTAGTGTAAATAGCAATGTGTGTGCACACACTCAGCCTCTAGTAACTGTACAAAATTAAGACTATAAATGTCTGAGAAGGTAGAAACTAATGGTATCATCAAAGTGTTTAGACATAGGTTGTGTGTAGAAGTCTTTCCAAGCAAGGTGCATTTGCATGATTCAGAGAGAAAAGATGGAATGTTTTGAGGAGAGAGAACAAGAGATTGAAGGTTGTAGCCATTTCTAAAAAGAGCGCCTGTTAAGATTCCAGGATTCTGAAGGTGAGGTAGAGTCTAGGGTGGCTGGTGAGAGGCCTGGAAATATAGGACTAGGAGACTGTGGAACTTTTTCTTTTTTTTTTTTTTAAAAAGCTGAAAGTATTTATTTTGAGAATTTGCTATATTAAACTTCACATGTACCATTTTTTATTTGCTTCCTTTCTTATTGTAGATTCAAATTACCAATTGGCATCATTTCCTTACCACAATAAACCTATGTTCCCACCTGCCACTTTTACTCTGCCATTGTAAATATATTATACATTTCTCTATTTATAAAATTATGTATGTATTGCTGAATGCAATTGCTTTATAATCAGTTAAGAGAAGAAAAGAGAGGAAATACAGAATTATGTTAGCTTTCATAATTATCTGTATAATCACCTTACTGGTGCTTTTGGTTATTTATTTATGTGAATGCAGATTAGTATTTGGTATCACTTTATCTCTTTTTCTTTTTAAAAAACAGTAACCAATAAGAAATTGTAGAATTCTGAAAGGCCATGACCTGTGCTCAAGAGTACTCTTGTCTACTTTTAGATGAAAGTGGTAGGACAGTAAATTTCTGGAGGTGAAGATAGCAGCCAGATGGGGGCTGTGAACTAGGGAATAGTAGGCAAGCTATGAGGGATAGTAGAATTTCCAGGATTTGGCTGCTAAAGGAAAGAGCCATGGAGAAAGGATAGCTTGGGGTCACTAGGAAACTGGAAGAGAATATGGCTGTTTTAGCTGATGGTGGAAGAATTATGGAGAGGGCTGTGGAAGACGCTGGTTTTAGTTTTCATGATTCAGTACTTGGAATTAAACATTTTATTATAATTTCAAAAAAATTATTAAATTTGAGGTAACAGATTACATAGATTTGTTGATCTTTTAAAATTTTAACTTAGTATTTTTCTACCTATTTTTAAATTCACAAAGAATGAGGAGCAATTATTGCTTTAGTACCTTGTAATCTGGATTGTGAAAAGAATTGACTAAGGTATTTGGACAATACTAGTTCCAACCAGAAAATACAGATAAGGGCTGGGGTTATAGCTCAGTGGTAGAGCTCTTGCCTAGCATGTGTGAGGCACCAGTTCGATTCTTAGCACCACATATAAATAAAATAAAGGTACATTGACAACTAAAAAAATACAAGTGATACTTTCGTTGATGACAGATGTGCCAGTTTTGGTTGCTATGACAAAATACCTGAGGAAATCAACTTAAAGGAGAAAAGATTTATTTGGGCACATGGTTTCAGAAGTTTCAGTCCTTGGTCTCTTATTCTTTTCTCTGGGCCTATGGTGAGGCAGAAAATCACAACAAGGAGCATGTAGCAGGACACAGCTGCTCCATATTGCATCAGCTCTAAAGCAGAGATGGGTAGGAGGAGCTGGGGACAAGATTTACCCCTTAAGGCAAGCTCCCAGTGACCTACTTCCTCCACCTAGGCCCCACCTTCTGAAGTTTTCACCACTTCTCAATAGCGCTACCAGCTGGGGACCAAGCCTTCATAAATGAGTCTTTTGGGACATTCCAGAATCAAATCATGAGAAGAAGCATTCAGCGATTAGCAGGACAATGGTAACTTCTTGATCTATTAAAAAATATTCCTTAAACTCAAAAACAGCAGAACGTAAACTGTTGCCTACACGTTTCAGTTAGGAAATTAATGAAGTGATTGGATTTAATTACATATTAACTTCTTGAGTTTAATCTACAATTCTGAAAGAAAACCAAAATGGGGTATTGACTAAAAATTAAAGGTGTTTAAATTCATGCAAGTGTCAGTTTTAAACGGACCAGGAAAGATGTTTCAGGTCCCCAGAGGACCCTACTGGAGACATTTGTTAATTCCCCTTTACATGGATGAAGTTCCTTGTTCTCCCTGGTCCACCGTCTCATTTCTCTTTTCCTCTGTGCAGCAGAGATGAGAGAATTAAAAGGTGCAGTCTTGAGAACACATGTGAATGCATAGTGCCTTTTTGTTCCTAGGTTTGGCTAGTGTGAATTCTATTCTGCTAATGACAGGTATTCTGCAAGGTGGTTAAATATATACATAAGGAGCCCCTTTTTTCTGTCTTCATCACTTTCAGTCTGCTTTAACCTGCTGCCTGGGTTGGGATGGGAGTACGACTGGTTAGCATAAGCCTGGATGGAAGGTAAAAATCTCAAAGAACGTGTTCTTCTAGATAGCACTATGCTCATATTTAAAAGGAAACTGGTTCTTACCAAAACATATGTTCCCAAAGGGTGGATCCCCTGTTTAAATATAGTTTTATAGCGTAGGCACTATCGTTGCTTGAAAGCTGACTCCCAGTTATAACTCATAGCTCTCTTGGGGGTGTGCTGAAACAAGGTAGAAGCAGTTATATACCTGCCTCATGCCTTGACCAGTACCAGGAACTTTCTAGAATACTTTTGTGGAATGATGAAATGAATGAGTCAGTAGATGAATGGAGGAGATATCTATTTATCTATCCATCCATCCATCCATCCATCATCCATCCAACGAAGGAGAAGAGTTGTACTGATGTCACCAGTGTCTAGCAAAGGATTCCATTTGCTGAAGAATAGAATAGCTCAGGAGGTTTGTGGCCTTAGAATAAAAACTATAAAAATAATAAGGAATGTCTGGTGAATTCTTTTGACATGCTGGGCACTCCACTGAGAACTGTACAAGCTATTTAGTTCTCATTGCCATTTCTTTAAGCTGAATTACTACCTATATTTCACAGATGAGTAGATTAAGGCTTTGAAAGAATAAGTAACTTGCCCAGCGAGACAAACATACATCATTTTGTGACTGTTTAGGACTAGTTAATCTTATGACTAAAATGTAACTGAAAGCTAATGGATGAGGATTAGGCCACATTGTGTTAGACCACAGGGCCACCTGTTCATAGACCAGCCGTGTGCCTCATAGACCTCAGCAACATGCTTTCCCTGTTTGGACTAACCTCCCTACCTTTTCTACACCATCCCTGTGTTACTGCTGCCAAACTGACATGGTGAGTGTATGGTGTTTCATCAGCGTGGTTTATTTTTGTAGCTGTGTTAAGTTTTGCACTTGTAGGCAGTTCTGTTGTCATGCTGAGTGGCCAACAAAGTGGTGGTGCTATTGATAATAGAAACAGAAGGGTGAGGAGAAAGAGACAGATGGATGGGTTGATGTGTGACAACAAGGGTTTTTTGGTGTTCTCTTTTACCAGTGAAGTTGAGGTGGTGATGGGACATTTAAACAT